CACTGGTGAAAAATGTCAAAGGTATCAATTCACACGCGTAATAATTAGTTCCCGGTTTAGAAAGCCACCACATCGAATTCCGAGAAGATTAAGAAGCATCCGTAACGCGTAATAATTCGAAGTCTGAGTTATAACTACAACAGTTCATCACCACCGCCAGATCGACTTCATCCCGCGAAGGGTTGGACATGGGCAGAGGCCATCGTAGCGCGGTCAACAAAGATGGCGGTTCAAGACAAAGTGCTTAATGTAAAAGCAAAGGAAGCATGGTTCGACGCATGAACTGTTGAAATGCGTTTGCCAATTTTTGCTGGACTTCCCTCGTATGTCGTAAGGCTATCCGTACATATGAAACATTTTGCAGCTCCTATTGTGGTACAGTATATCTTATACTTTCTGAATGCCCGTGAAATTAAACAAAGTGCGGGAAGCAATGCAGTATAGTGTTATGAATGTTGCATATACATGTTATGTTCAGTGAGACAGTTCTTACATATTCCTACTTCATATATAACCATCTTTCATCACATCATACAAGAATTTCTCTGTCACGGCTCTGCTGCTTGGGCAAAAAGGGTGTCCACCTCAAAAACCAAGGATAATTTTGGCAGCTTATATAAATACTGTAGATGCTGTAGACTAGACTTGGCAGCGTTGGAAAATCTTCTGGGCCACAAATAATGCACACTGCTGTCAGTGGTTTTAGGAACTGTACAGTTGTGCCTAACCAAACAATCAAAATTTTTTCCTGCACGGTGGTTTTTAGGTGAAACAGTTATAGGCAAATACTTTGTCCTTAATGTATAACGGAAATCCCTTTATAATGGCTGGGTTCCTGAGAGAAAAAATGCTGACAGAAAATTTTAAAGATTTGCCTACATCTTCAAATACCAAAGCACAGATCCCTAAAAACACTGCTACAGCTCATTCAAATGCTTTTCCTCATTAAATTGCCTTGCTGTCTTTTGAGAAAAAAAACCAGAAAATTAATAGCAATTGCTGTACTTCATGCATACACGACATCTATGAGTGAAGCAGGAGTCAATCCTCCTGTGTAACTGTGCATAGATGTCACTTTTGCACAAGGTACATTAAGCAATTTTAAGCCTAGAATATCACCAATTACAATTTCCTTCCGTTCTTATTCTCACTTTCCCTCCATGACAAAAATGCTTGATAACCATTTTTGTTGAGAGGAAGAAGCAATAATAGCATTTTTTCCTTCTATATACAGTATTTATAAGTTCAAAGGAATGCCAGATAACATTTGCTAGGCTGGAAACTCCAATAAGTGAGAAAGAAAGTGATTGAATTTTGCAATGGATGGAAGATGTACCTTCTGTATTTGCCTTTCTTTGGTGACATCCCTAATTTCACAATTATCTTCACTTCATTTTGCACTTGATTCTCTGAAAGAATGTAAAAAAAAGTTAGTTCAGCATTTCTTGGTAAAAAAAAACAGAATGCAGGTCAAAATTGGAATTGCCCACCTAGCAGCAAATGGTCCTATAGGCGGGACAATGGGACAGGACATTTTTATTTGAGGTTTTTGATGGTTGTTTGGTGGATCCGTGCTGGTTAGGCTGTGCATTCATTTTTCCAGGCACCACTGTACAGTACAGTATATTATTTCCGTAGTTCACAGCAATTCAACAGATTGCCAAGCAAATCAACTCAAACTGATTGACACCTGCTGGTACATATAGGCACTTTGATTGGTAATTCCTACAGCAAATAATCAGCAGATATATTTCTTGTTGTAGTAGAAAAAGATGCATGAGTATAGCTTTGTTAATGGTAAAATGAGGAGATGCAGCTGTTGAATATGCGTATCCCACCTGATTTTCTGAGTATAGGTGATAAATACATAGCACAACAATGAAAAATGTGGTGCTGCCATGAAAAATTTGGCGCCATTAAACCGTGGCACTGCTGTTTAGGAGGAGCAAATATTTAAAAATACAGAATGCCACTCTCGCTTTTATTTTGGACGAGAGGGATGTATTGAAAATTTGAACAACTCCGCATGTTCCGTTAATGACACTCCAGAGTTTGCGGAGTGTTGCTGAGGAAATTTGCACCAAATTAAATACTGAAGTTGTGTGTGCTGTGTTTCTTTCCATTGGGTTTGGATTCGGTTCCTCCATGGGATATAAAAGACAAAACATCAAAAAATATGAAGGATCAGGCAGGGCAACATAGTAAAAATACAAGAAACATCTGCCATAGATTTGGTGTCAGTGCCAATCACACGGGTTTAATCCTATGCCGAAAGATGACAACAATTTTCCTTTTTGATTGTCCAGAATTGGTTGTAGCCTTATTTTCAAGTACACTTGTCAATTATTGTAGGACAGAGCGAGGCCTGAAAATTTTCAAGGTCTGAAGGTCCATTTGAAATTCTGAGAGCGATTCTCTATAAAAATAAAGCAATGAATTCCGAAGATTCAAAAAAAAGACACAATTTTAAAATTTCAGCTCACCCAGTCTGTCAAAATACGATCCCCAGCTTCATCATCTTCCTCTTCCCAACTCTGCACTCACTAAAACGCCTGACGTATCTGGAGAATTCCTCTCATCGGACTCTTCCTGAATAACACCCGCGTTTTGGGGCACTTTACCCTTCTTAGGTTTTCCCATTGTAGCACAACACAATTTTGCCAGTTTGCAGAAAATTTTTTGGAAATGTTGCCAGTCTGCAGAAAATTGTTGGAAATTTACTGAGTCCACAGACACAAAAAGGTTGGGGAACACGGCTCCAGGGTATGCCCTGCCAGATGGCAGGAGATAATCCAGAGCAGTGTTCCCCAACCCATGGTCCACAGACTGGCACTGGTCTGCAGATGTTTTTTGCCAGTCTGCAGGATATTTTGAGCATAATACATTTTTTTTAAAGTAGCAATGAACTCTGTTATCATTTCCTAAAACTTTGGAAGGACAGCAGCAGTTGAAATCATTTGATGACATTTTTTTGTTTTTCTCCTATAATAACACTTCCAAACACATTTTTACCAGCTAAAATAAATTATTTTGATTTTTCATTCTGATAAACCTTTTTTCAAGCCCAAATTTCTAAGTTTTTGCTGACAATAACCTACAGCTGCTTTAGAGGTGCTTAACTTAATTTTTGCAAGAAGCAGAAAATTTTTTACACCTGCCATAGACTATCAAGCAAAATGTTTTCAAGTCTGAAAATTCTACAAAACTTCGCTATAGTCTGCAGACAATTTTTGGGAATTAGCTGGTCTGCAAAACATTTTATGGAAATTTGCCAGTCCATGGACCCAAAAAGGTTGGGGAACACTGCTCAAGAGTATGCTGTACCTGCTGAGTACACCCTGTGAATATGTTTCAATTTTCAAGTTGAATATGTAAAATGATGGATGCAGTTGCTGGACAGCCATCAATTGTGTGATGCACAGTGTGCAGTAAAGCTGTGACAATAATTTATTTATGGGTGCAGGAAGTGTGATTTCTTGGGTGTGAATGGCATGTTACGTCAGTTTTGTTTGGATAGGCTTGGGATTGGGTTTTTAGGACCAGGTTGGGGGATCCTTTGCTCAAGCTTCAAGTGTATGGGCAGTATATTTCTAAGGTACAGTATGGCACCCTCTACCCTCTGAATTGTCTTTTTTTATGATCCTTAGCTTGCCAGTTAATTGGCGTGCTAGTTCGAACCTTCCCGCCGCCATGGTATTTTCTGAAAAAGAAAGTGGACCAGGGTGCTTCTTTTGAGCACTTCCCAGACTGCGACAAAATGTATTCAGGGGATTGATTCAATTAATGAGCAAACACAGTTTCATCAAGCACAACTCAGTTTTTTCTCACTTCCAAAAACTGCAGGATGATCATTCATAAAACACATAAACAGACAGACTGACTGAAAAGTCAGACATTAATTTTTATTGAGACCTTTTTGTTCTCTTAAAATACAACCATCAACATTCCTTCAACAAAACTTGGGAATTAGACTTTTCTTAGCCGTCTGAGAATTCATCAATCAAATCACAATGAATATGTCATGCAAGGTGATGCAATTTCCAGGGATAATACAATATATCCAAATTTGAATTTATTTTTGGTTCTGGAGTTGAAGCTAATTAAGAAGTTTGCAGGATAAAGCAAAATAGATGCAGAGCAATGTTGGATGGAATTGAATCCATGCAATTCAATGATCCTTTTTTGGTTGTGGTAGGATAAAGAAGTTTCATTGGTGAAATATTTTTCCACTATAATGGCTATTCAGAAAAGTATACTCAACTATTATGAAACCTAATGGATCTTAATGCGTCATATAACACAGGTTGTGGCTTTGAAAAAAAAACACAAATCTGAAAGCAAATATTCCATGACTGATTCCCCAACATATAATTTTGCACAACATGCTGGTTTCAAAATTTTAAATAGTTCATTTATTTCAGTTTAAGATGAATATGAAAACTTTGGAATTAAAGGTCAAACACTTGAGTAACCAATAAACAATGACAGACCACAAACTATTGTACTTGAACAGTGTTAAACTTCTCATTTCGTTTTCATACACAACATTTTTTCCAAACCTCTGAAGTAATTCCTATTCATTCTCAAATCAACAAAATTGTCAGATTGGTAATTTTGCTGAATTGGAAAAACACAGTTTTCTTGCAAGTTCTTGAGATAATTCAACTTCAGCTAAATTATAGCGCATACATGGCATCACAAAGAAAAACTAATGATGTCTTCTGCTTCTTGCAAGGAAATTGTAACTTCCTTTAAAAAATTTTTGCATATCCAAATAGTTTTTTGCATTTTTCTGAGATCCATCAATACTGAAAAATTGTGAATTTCTTTCTCAATTGCATTGGCTAGATAATGGAACAGCTGTAACCTACATTATTTTCCATCTACAAAATTATCATTTTGTACCAATCTTTCAAATGACGTATACATGGAATAAACCCAACTCAATATCTTGTCAATAATTGTGATTCCACTGTCTTATGACATCAATGAAGTTTTCTAATACGGGCAATGATAGATTTAATAATTCAATTTGGCACATGAAAGAAGGGATCAAAATGAATCATTATGGCTCCTGCTCCTCAGCATTCAAACCTTTTATACAATTAAACCCAGGTCAGAAAATTTGATACAGATTTCTCTCCCCACTATGCAGAATACCCCTTAAACATGCAGATATATGCCCCAATAAATGCATCAATATAAGCCTGTCTTTAGGGGGGATCTACAGTATTCCAGTACAAAAAAATATATCTTTCAGATATACCAAATGCTGAATTGAATCAGAACAAATGTTTAATGATGTACAGTTCAAAAGATGCAAATACTGTATGTCTCTTTGAAATCTCAAAGAAAGCAGCTCCCACAGCTTCATTCATTCATTTTGCTGATATCTTTTACAATTTTCCCAGAGATTTTAGCTTGTGACCTCATGTGGCTCAATGTAGTAAACCACACACAAAATGAACATTGTAGTTCCACTATTCTCATCAATAATAGAACAACCTTTCACTTGGACTGCCCTTCAGCAATACCAATTTATCTGAAATCAACTTTGGTGCATTGTAAGAAAACAAAATACAACCTACTTGTTGAGATGGCCAAGACAATACATACTGAATTTGTATGAAAGCTCAAATCAGGACTGATTTCCTGCCAATATTATGACACAAACTAGCAGATCAAAATTCTGAAAAAAATGTAATGCTTTCAGGAGGCTTTTTCCTTTTCTATGGCTTTAAGAATTTTAGAAATAACTCATATCATTATCCAGAATATTTGCATGAACTGATGTAAAAACTGGGCACTGTATCACCAACAGTACTGAATTTCATTACAATACTTGGAAGTTCCTATCAATGTTTGGACGGAGCTCATTCAGGATGGTGAATTTGAATTCTCAGCACTAGAAAAATAGGTTGGAATCTAAGCCACTTGATCCTATATACATAACAGCTGCACTGATTTCTTCAAAGCAGCACTGGATTCCCTGGATAATGCACTGAGCCTCCCAAATATCACAAGCATTCAGTTTCAACAGAAATCCCAATGGATTTGATTGAACCAAGATATGTGGTCCAATTATCATATCACACTAGAAAGAAATTACACATTGCAAGGATTATGCCATCAAATTGTGATCCATCCCAGTAAAAAAGCTATTGGACTGCTAAATTCTGTTGATTTGTAAGATGGTCACATTATTTGTGTATCTATGGGGTAATTCATATTTTTCCCAGCGCCTAAAAAACAAAAGAAATTTGCTCTACTTCACAAAGCATCTGCCAAAACAGGACTGTCTGCATCCCCATTGTCCAGGGATTGAAGATCTACCTTTCCAGGAAAATGTACCTTTGTGATGACAATTTCACCAGTAGACAAGGTTTGACAGGCACGCTCAACTTTCACATGCACTGAGTTTGTAGTAGAAGCTTTTGACCACAACATGGAGGGGCTCACATAGGCTTCAGTCTGAGTTTGCACATCACAAATTTTTCCTACATTGGAGGATTCACAAGAAGTGGCAGTTGCAGCAGTCCATATGGCTTCAATCTGCTCCATCTGATCCATCTTCCCATTTGCAAGCAACTTGTCAACCATTTGCATGGATGTTGTCAAACAGGGCAGCTCTCCATCTTGTGGAGACACAACACCACCTTGGAAATGAAAATTTTTTCATAATGAAAACATGTCTCACTTGAAGAATGAAGATTTGATGAAAGTTGAGCAGAATGTGATCACTTTCGGCTCAATATCAGGCTCAATAGAAAGGCTGAATCTGTGTCAAACTATCAGATTTATTGAAAAATACTTGACTTGAACTACATATATCATAATTCACCATTATAAAGGAAAGCAGCGCAGAGTCTTGATGAAAAAGGGAAAAAGTTGATCTACAAACCAATGGAGCTTGTCAATGATGATTCTGGTGAAGTTGTGCTATTGGTGAAGGCTGAATCAAGGGATGGGTACTCAGCATCTGGACCATTGTATGGTGTGCCCAAAACACCATTGAAGTTGCTTGAATTGTGATGACTGTCAACCCCTTGGTTGAACTGATCACAGAGGTCTGAAGCAGCTTCATTGCTGGGAGAAAATAAATTTGAAATTACATAACTGCTTTAAACCCCCCCCCCTCTCCCAAGAAAACTAGACTTACCAATTTTCCCCTTTATTTTGAAGTCGCTCCAGCTTCTTCAGAACCTTTTGTGACCCTTCAAGCTTTTCTTTTTCCTCATCCGTCAAATCCATGTATCTGAAAAGGCATCTCTAAGTATAAAATACCAGATTCTTTAAGAAGGATTGTACCTCAGCAAACGAATCTCTCTATTTGAGAGTACAAGTGTTTTTCCAGTTGGAACTGCAGCAATTTTCCCCTTCAATTCCTGAATCTCAACTTCAGCTTTCCTGCTTTTCTTTTTGAGTCTGACATCATCTCTCCGAATGAAATGCTCAATCTGCTCCTCACACAGTTCCTCCAAAAGTGGAATGTAATCACAGCTCAGTAAACTGCAATGAAATAGAAAATGTGATCATCACATTGTGATAACAGAAAAATCAGCAAACCTTGTCATTTTCTCATAAATAAATGGGACCAAGGGAATGACATCAAATGCAGCATAGGCCAGCATGTCATCAGTCAATGGCCGTCTGGCCCAGTAACGCTGATCTTTCTTGTAAATGGATTTCATTTGATCCTTTTTTGGATTCCCTGGGGCATTGTAGAGCTGACACAATGTTGACAATCCCAAGCTTTTTACTTTGTAGACAGGTCTGCCTGTTTGCTTGTGATGCAAAACAGCATGTGCTGACTGAGTGTCAAACACATTCCTGAGTCGGATGCCAAACTGTGAGCTAAAAGCTGCACTGTCATTTCGACAGTCATGCATAACCTTGATGATACTCTCATCCTCAAGGAACTGCTGGAGACCACCTTCTGTCACGAGATCTCTACAAACCATGACATCAAAGGCAAAGACTTCACCTTCCATGGAAGATATCATGAGCAGTGTCATGGGGCCATTTGGGCCCAAGTTCACACCTTCACTGTCTACTCCATAAATGCGCTTTGGACGTGATGTCAGATCTTCCAAGAGAGCCTTGCATTCCTTCACATTTGCAATCAGCCTCAATGAGTGAAGCAATTTCATCACAGATGGGTCATCAGAATCACAGACAATGGCATTTGGAGATATTTGAGGGCGATACTTTCCAGCATTCTCTGACAAAGTTTTTAGCAATACTGAGTTCACGCGTTGTTTCACGGACTGTTGACTAGTTGGCAAGACTTGCTTTGATGCTGGGGGCATCAAAGAGGAAGATTTTGGTTTCAGATTGAGTTTGATTTTCTCCTCACTGGGCTTCACCAGGGCAACAAGATGTGACTGCACATGGAAAATGTCTGAATGCATCTTTAAGAATGTGGACAAGTCGGAAGCACCTTTGAAAAAGGCAGCCCACAAGTTGCGAGACAACACGGCTTCCAAGGCTGCAAAAAGCTGGTCCACTATCAAAGGCCCTCGGGATTCCAAAGACTGCTTCAACACAGAAAGAATTTCCTTCGTCACATTCGGATCAATTTTGATGTCTTCAGGCAACGTCAGCTGAGAAACCTTTCCATCGTGGTTCTTGAGCATCACGGTTTCTTCAGTAACTTCAAAAGAGTCCTCGTATTTGGAGAGGAAATCCTTGAACTCTCGAATGTGTTGGCCGGAAACGTGACGGACTTCTGGTGGAGCCTGGGATCTGTGGCCAAGCAGACTCCTGATGGGCACTTCAGTCCCAGCCCCGTACTGTTTCAACTTGTCACTGAAGTAAGCCACAGCTTCCTTCGCATAATCTCGTCTGATGCCAAGTACAGATGCCTCGGGGGATGTTTTAGCACTGTTCATGTATGAGGTGATGAACACCGTATCATCGTTGACTGTGAAGAGCGACGGGTGCTGGAGGAGGAACTTTTTGAGTCCAGCTTGAGAGCCCCCGGCAATTTGACGCATTTCTTTGGTGAAGCCCTTAGTGCCAAACTGACAACTCAGGTCGTGCAAGGTTCGAGATTCTCCTTTACTCATCAAATGCTCAAAGAAGAAGAGCAGAGTCTGTATTCGCACCATGTCGTAGTCTCTGCTGTCCATGATGCTGCTCCTACTGAAGGCAAGATTCAGCTCACAAAGCGCGAGAGGAATCCCACACTGGATTCAGTCTATTCTCCTCTCATTTGTTTTCACATAACCTGTGCACAAATAGGAAAGATGGGGGTTCCTGTCAATAATGTACAGACAACCTTTTATGAAGAACACGATCAGGAGTAGCAGAGGTGGAAGCTTACCAAACGTTGACAAATGGCACCTTCAAATAGCAACGGTTATTACCATGACCATCTTACAGAATTTCAGAGTGAAACACTTGGATCAATGGGTAAGCTAGAGGAATTGTGCAGGCTTTTGCTGAAGCAATTTTGCCTACTCATTAACATATGAACTAAGGTAAGTTTGTAAGCCAAGTATAAGGATTTGTTAGCCAAGGCACCTAATGAGGCCCAAACACTCAGTTTGTCAACCAAAAAAAATTGCAAGCCTGGGTGTTAGTTAACACAGACCCTACTCTACTGCAAGGAGCTTATCACCAGCTGACACAATGAATATTTCAACTGCAAATAGATTATATGCCTTGTATGAATTCATGTACTGTAAAAGCTTTTGCTGAGTTTCCTAAAAGTTTATCTCCACCTGCTGTAGACCCTGGTACACAAGGAGTCCAGGACTATACCCACACATGTCTCACCAACTTATGGCATTGGCAATGTCACAGGGAGTTTCAAAGCGCAAGTCACTGGATGATGAAAATAAAATTCCGAAGGAAAGACCAAACCATTGCTCCTTATTGTTGCTGTAAACTTGCTCAAGTTTTACAAAACTACTCAGTTTACCCCCAATGGGCAGACACTTCCACAATGGCATCCAGCAAATTGATTTCACAGATACAATCCAGCAAAATTTCATTTGAGTCTATTTTTTCAGCGATCAGAGAGCAATGACAGCTTAATGCTCAAAAACTTCAGAACAAACAAAAAGGCATAAAGCTTCTCTCACATTATGACCAGGGCAAAATTTTAAGGAATGTTTGTATCAAAAAAAAAAACCAATCAATACACTGAGCAGTTTTAAGAAACTATGGAGCAATATGTTGGCCCAATCCACAGTACAGTTGTACCCCAATATGTGGACATCATTGGTGCATGGACCATGTTTCAAGTCAGAATGTCCCCATTGACAGACCTCATTTAACCTTAAACTTGAATTTAAATATTTTTTATTGATTCTTCTGGAGATGAAAAAAGTCCCCCAAAAATAAAATATTTTTAAACTTTCAGATATAGAAAATGATTGTACAGTTAGAAAAACACACAGAATCTGATCCTGATGTTTGAGAGGTCGGGCGGCAAGGATCCCACGCAAGTGCAATCCAGTTCGCGATCACTCACCGTGTCGCACTACGCATCGTCAAAACACTGGAAACGATCGCGAACGCCGCAGACCCTCAGTCTA